TTTGGCTTCTCAATATATAGGGCCATGACAAAAGATTTAAGTAAAGTGAAAAGTGCCCTACTGCATCACATGGAGTGCTGACATGTTAAATGGGGTTGTCTTTGTTTAACCAATTACCCTTTGTTAATGTAGGCAGGGCCAGTCAGCCACGACAAAAAAATAAGCATGTTTAAGAAGGAAAACAGAGTCATTTATATTATTATCAAGTAATATCACAGGATTCATCTCATACAATTTGGACTAATCAACACATATAGATTTTTTTAGAGAAATGTGCCCATGGAAATGTGCTGCTTTATCTCTCATTTCTCCTAAAATTAAGTGAGTACTCATACAATTGCCAGTGCATCACTGTTCAGGGACTCCAGGGATAAGAACTGGAATGAAGTAAAACCAAATTTTAGGGGCTGGGAACATGATCCAGAATCAAAGATATTGTCTGATTTCAGACTTTCAGAGCATGGCCTCTTTCTGGTAGCAAACAGTTAGCTTTTTTAGTTTGATTTCATTTATTTACCATTATGATTTAAACTGAACCCGAGGATGGGGTTTTGATTACGTGCATATTTATTACTCAGGCTAGAATTTCAGCATGAAATGGCAGAACTTGTCTTACACATAACAGTTGATGAAAAAATTGTAATATCTCACAAAATCAAAGAAATTTAGAGCTTTAATCTATCAATTTCTCTTAGAGCTTGCTGAAAGCTGGTCTGGAGGTTGATTTTGAAATAACAGCACTTGTAAATTTACCATTTAATTTACCTTTGATCAAAAGTGGCAGAATAACCAGTTTTCTGTTTTACTTGTTTTGTCATTGTTATTTTTTTTTAAGCCCAGTGGACCAGTTATATGTATTGACCCTTTAACTCCCATGAGTGACCAAGACAGAATTTCTCCTTACAAAATCGATATAATATAAAGCAGACAAGTGATGAGAACAAAGAAGAATATCAATTAGGGGATTATTAGTTGATCCAATACCAAATTCTCCAAACTAACATCACAAGAACTGTATGGTAGACAGTAAGGAGAATTACTAATGAGATCGTGGGAGTTAAAGGGTTAAGAGGTGAGACTTAAAGTATTTTGTTACATGTACATGATATATCTCAAATAGTCACAATTGTGGTTAATTATTCAACTTAGGGTCTGTATGAGGCTCAAAATGTAGTTATGAAATAGATTTTTCTGCTTTAAAATAAGAACCATGTGTAATATTGTCACATTGTCCACATGCCTCAATCAGATTTTTGTTGGGGCTACTCACATACTCCAATCAGATCAGAGCCCTCTTCAGTAGTTGATAAAGCTGCAGATTCTGTATCTCATTTGAGTGAAGTTTTGAAGGGAACTTGATGGTGGCTATTTATGTGCAACTAAAAAATAATTTTTGATACACTGAACTCTATTGCAACCTGCTGCTATAAGCCTTGCTTTTCTCCATCGCTGTTTGATAGGAAAGTGGAAACTCTCTAACCCTTTAACTCACAGAAATGATTTACATGTAAATTTTCCCTATGATATCCATGCATTATTCTGCAAAAAGTTGATAAGAATACTCAAACTTATCAGGCAGAAGTTGTCTTGATCTAGCACCAAATTCTCGTAACCAATTTACAAGGATATGTGTAGCAGCTAGAGAGTAGAATGAAAAATCAGATCTTGGAGTTAAAGGATTAAAATTAGTTGTTTTTAAAACCAAAGAATGTTTACTCACAAGGATTGTGTATATTTTTACAAGCTTTACCTTCAGGTTTTATCTTAAAGGGTTTGAGATGTCTGAGGTTCCCCCCCTGAGGTCCTTGAAGGGTAGACAATACTATATACTAGTTAAATCACCATCTAACCTATAAGTGTTTGCAAATGGACTCCAGCATGATCTGTCCTTTGGAACAACTTGGGCATTTTGATAAGATGTTGACAAAACGTCTACTGATGTAGTGATACATCTATTGAATGAATTTATCCACTCTCTGAATATCTGAATAATAAGGGGGGGGGGGACTGAGAATTGTATAGCTATGCATACCTTCAGCCAGAATATTACACATCTCTTGCACCCCCTTTGATCCTCGAATAAAAGGGAGGAGAGATTTTGATAGGTTACTGGTGTGTTGTTTTTAAAATTTCTTGTGGAGGAGATATTGAGATGTTTTACAGAAGTGGGTCAAATTAGTGTTTATATTTTCTATGTTCTATGTGCTATGTGCCCTTTCTCCTCAGGGTTTAATTAGGAATGGAAATACGGTGACTTTTAATTATAATTTGGAAGGATTCTTCTTATGTCTGCCAGGAATTTGAATATATTTTCAATCAGTATTTTCCCATTGCTCAATGCAAATATCATTGGTCATGCAGGTCACAAAGTGTGAAATCCAGAAGATTCCAGAAGTGATTTTGTGTGAATCTACTGTCTAAACGCTGAATGATGAACATTTAAGTCAAGAAATGGAATTCGAATTAGGTAAGCCAGTGTCATTCACCCTGTATTATGCAGAGCTGCAGGTATACCTTTTTTCGTCAATAAGTCTCTTTTGCTGACTGATATAAAACTATTGGCAAGCTGTTAGCCCAGCAAGAATGATCAGCTACAGAAGACACATGTAAACACCTAGTTACAGTTGTCATAGGAAAAATAATAAACGAAAGATCAAAATTCGAATTAATCAGTACATACTTACAACATAAGGCATACTCATTAGCACAAAGATTTTGGAAATTGTTTGGAGTCGAGTCGCTTGAAATCTCTTAACAACTGATACTCTTAAAAAGTTTGCTAGCTTTTAGCTCATTCATGCTGAAAGCAATGAATGAGGTATTGTGGTGGAGCAGATGTGGACGGTAGTTGTATTCCGTGGACGGAACTTGCATTGTGGATCGTGCACGGAAGTGGTATTGCACGCTGCCCCTCCCCACTTAGTGAAAGTCAAAATTAATTTCGATGAAGCTCAGAAACTCACGTGGAAAGAAATAAAATGTTTGTATGGTTTAATAAAAATAATAACCTCAAATCACATTTCCGAACTTCTAAAAATGCAACTTGAATCGAGAAGCCGAAATGTTCACACCTAGGGGACCCTTGTGGGTTCATTGCAACACACGCTGTGACCACGCAAAATAGCATCAGGGACAGCAATATTGGTAAGCCGTGCATTTTTGTTCGTCTTCACTTGGTATAAAGTAACCATTGCTCGATCATTGTGCTTTTCCTCGGGAGCTCTTCAACATACAGTCCACGCATCAATCATAGCGGCCAAGATAGTCTTGCTAAATTTTTTTTCGAGCTCCAATATTTCGGTCTGGACTTGAAGCTCGCTCGAACAAAAACAGCACTACCAATTGGTTGGTGGGATGTCTGTGGAGAATTTACCAACTAAATAAATGTAGATGAAGACTTACATGAGATGTCACTATTGAATATTTAACATGCGCAATTTTTCGAGAAACAGTTGACAGCTTTGCACGTGGTCCGTAAGTTTCATCTTTTTAACCGATATGTGTTAATTTTGTGGACAAAAATGCGGACCGAGACCAAAACTGTTCCTTTGACTTGATATATTTTCAACGTTCAGGGGTGCAAACATACTAATTTTGACATATGTGCCTCATGTTGTTGATGGCTTACATGAGGAACTGGCGAATTTTTATAAGGAAAAGCGATGCGTTGCTTTCGTGAGTGGCCATTTGTTTACTTTACCGGTGGTTTTATCTCTCATCTGTTAGGTGACTACGCAAATATTAATATGTGAAAATCAGACTATATGAAGGATTGAAATTCTATTAAGAACGATTGTGGACGTTTTGTTAAAAACAAAAGATATCAGGAACGGGCAAGGAATATTTCACAATAGTGCAAATGATCGTGAAGGATGAGGGTTACTGATATTTTTTTTGCTAGAGCAAAATCTGAAGCCTGACTATGCCCACCCAGCCCATCCTCCAGCCCATCCTCCACCCCACAAACGCACACACACCAACGAAAAGGACACTGTCTGCCTAATGACCTCTCCCTAATGCTCAAAAATAAAACAAAATTTATTCCAGAAGTCTTGAAAGTTCAAGTAAACCAAATTCAACTGTACCTATATTCATCAAGTCCAAGAAATCAATACAAACTTAAGCCATAACATGAATGAGCTGGCTCCAAGAGCCCTATGATTTTCAGTAAAAACTGTGTGACAATTGTTCAGCTGTTAGGAAAAAAAATTGAGGGGGTAGTAATATATGCTAATTAATTCCCATTTTTCTTTTTCCTCTTTTGTTTTTGCCTTTTTCTTGGACAGCTTTATTGGAATTAAGTATATTGGGGAAAAAAGGGAAATTGTAAATCCAATTATTAAAATGCTTTCTGATAAGAGGCTTATGAAGTTTTTGCATCCTGAGGTCTTTAGCTTAAGACTCTCGTTGTTGTCGTATGCATTCTCTATCAAATACAACTATCTTTAACCTTTCCTATCCTTGGTAAAGTTCCTAAGAAGCTGGATAAAATGAAAACTTGTGCTAAATCTCAAACAAACATTTCGTGAAATTAAAATGAATTAAACCTTAGTCTCAGTCACAGATTATAGCACACTTTCACCATACTTTGAGCTCTTTTTAAATCAGTGAAACATTTTGAGAAAAAAAGCTATGGGAAAACTATGAAAAAGTCTTAAATTTTGCAAACCAAAACGTTTGGGATGTTAGCGCCATCATAGATGCGGGATTAGGCTTGTTATTTTTCATTTTTGTTCGAGTTGGCCGTCCATCTTTCTCATACATAGAACCAGGATCCATAAGTGAGATGAAAGCCTTAACATTGGGAGAATCGCTCATTATGCATGTAATACTGAAGGTATCTACAGAACAATTTTTAAGATAAAGAAGGGATTAAAAAAAAAAAAGTCGGAAAGTATCAGCCGCCAAAGTAGTTAATTTTGTGTTTGCCGAATCCTAAACATTTTCGTTAACACAGCAAGTGATTCTATTCTTTCTCTACCCAACAGTATATTCTTGAAGATCACTGACATTTAACAAATTTCCGACAAGATGGCAACTGCTCCTGTTTCGCCACTAGCAAGCTCTATGGAGAAAACAAATGGAGCTAAGCTCAGCAGACTTCTCATTGATGGTGGAACAACAGTTCTGAGGACCATTTTTGATGGCTATCACCCACCGGCTAATCTTTCTACTAGTCTCAATGCCAACTACTCAACCCTTCAATCCCTCTTAAAGAAAAAGGTCCTGCGTGCAGCTCAGTGGAAAAAACTGTTTCCATCTGGCGGAGTAACACCAGACTCAAACACGTTTGACATCACTCTCTTGTTTCTTCTTCTCACCAACATTTGCGGACTTTCCCCTCCTCTCTCGGGGTGGCATTCCATGCCATCTCCGAGTGACAACTCCCTTGAGGCAAACCTTGCTCGGGTAAAGGTCTTCCGCAATGAGTTGTATGGTCACGTGTCCACTACTGCTATTGACACGCCCACTTTCTCTGTTTTATGGCAGGATATAAGTACTGTCCTTGTTGCCCTTGGCTTGGATAAGGTAGCCATAGAGAGATTAAAACTAGAGCACTCTGGAGAGGAAGACTATATTGAAATATTAAGAGAATGGGCGAAAAGTGAAGAGGATACCAAGTCGCAGCTGAAGGATATCTCACAATCTCAGACTGAGGTAGCACAAACTATCGCCGAATTGCGTCAGGCTCGTCTTGAGGACTCCAAGGAGCTGGAAGAAATGAAAAATACAGTTATCAAAACTTGGCAAGCCGTCGAGGATCGTAGAAGAAGGGACAAAGAGGATGAAATTCTCAAAGCACTCGCAAAGATTGACACAGGAAAAGATGTCGAATATCATTCAGAACGATATCAGGAAGGAACTCGTTTGTCTATTTTGACAAAAGTGCAGGATTGGATGGATGACAGAAGTTCTGAGAATCGTGTTTTGGTAATCAGCGGACAGGCTGGTATGGGAAAATCTGTGATCTCTGCAGTTGTCTGCAAAAGAATGCTAAGAGCTAACAGACTATCTGGAAGCCATTTTTGTCAACATGGCAAGGCACGCCGCAGGAATCCTAAAGTGATGCTTCAGTCTTTGGCTTGTCAGCTGTCTGACATTATTCCAGAATACAAGAGTGCCATTCTGGAAGTACTGTCAAGAAATTTAGGGGGAGATCTAAACAGCATGGAAGTTAGCGATCTCTTCGAATTGCTGCTCATGGAACCTCTTTCTAAAGTCAAAGACCCAGGAAGTAACATCCTAATGGTAATAGATGGCTTGGACGAGAGTGAATACCAAGGCCGCAACGAATTGGTTGATGTGATTGCTAATAACTTTTGCAAACTCCCAGCGTGGTTTCGATTTCTTGTGACAACCCGTCCTGAAATCAACATCGCCGATAGTCTTAGGGTTTTGGAGCCTCTGCAGCTTGAACCAAGTGATAATGAGAACTTACAAGACATCCGTCATTATCTTAACAGGCGTCTAAGCCAATCTGGGCAGTTCGAAATCCAAGAGGATGTTTTGAATTATCTTGTGGAAAAGTCAGAAGGAGTGATGTTATTTTCTTACTTTTTAGTTGAATTTGTAGGCAAAATCGAGGCCGTTCTTACCACAGAGCTGCTGGAGAACGATTTGCCATCTGGTATTTCATCCGTTTACGAGTCCTATTTCAAACGTTTAGAGCAAGAACTTGTAAAGGAACTGGAGATTAAGGACGAGCATTTTTTTGCTTTCCTAAGTGCAGTTACAGCTTCGAGAGAGCCATTACCAGTTGCTTTTGTCGCAAAATTGTTCCAGTTGGACACCAGGACATCAGTTGGCAAACGGAAAGTTAAAAGGGCAATTTCTTGCATTTCAACTCTTCTGCTGGTTGAGGATGAAAGGGTCAAGTTCTTCCACAAATCAGTCAAGGACTGGTTGACCGTTACTTCCTCGTATGGACAGCACGACTTTGCATTAGATTTGAATGAAGGTCATAGTATCCTTTCTAAACTTTGCCGTGAGGAACTCGATCAAATTAAGGATCGTGGTGTTATTGATCGAAAATTTTGCGACTCTGAAACATATTCCCTACAACACGGTGTCACACACATGCTTGAGGATGCAAGGTCACCGAATAGTAAAGAATTGGTGAGGTTGTTTGTCTTGGACTTGGAACTCGTTTACGCTAAACTCTGTGTGGATCACGCAACGGCAGCCGACGACATTGTACGTTGTCAGAAACAGGACATTTTGTCAGTGCTCCCTGAAGAAAGTAAAACTCACTTGGATGACTTATTGCTTTTGTTGAGAAAGTACCACGAAAGTTTTAAATATTTTCCTCATGCATTTCTGCAAACCGTGTTGAATGAGGGAGAAGCGAGACTTTCTTCCCAGGCATCAAGTCTTCTGAGTAAGAAATTTCCCGATATTACTTTCATGGAGTTCATTTACAAGGATGTTCATGAGGAGGCTCCCAAAGCTGTTTTTCAATGTTCAGCTGCAGTGGTCTGTTTTGATGTGTCGCCGCAGTCTGACTACATGGTGTGTGAATGTAAAGATGAGATGCTTTACTTGTGGTCGCTTCGCACCGGCAAATTAGAATGGAGACGTCCCTGCAAAATAAAGAAACAATATTCACATGGCAATTTCACGTATCGAACGTCGCCTTCCTCTGATGTCTTCTCGTGCTACCGTTCGGTTGTTTTTCATCCTTCAAAGGAAGTTGTCCTACCAGGAATTCTTAGTTCAGCCTATTCGATTGATGGAGATCTGAAACCACTTTTTCCAAGAAGTAACTGCATATTCACAGTTTCTTCACTGTTGAATGCAAACGGCGAGGTCCGGTTTGTAACAAATTTTCCGGATGACACCAAGTGTATTATTCTGTGGAGTCTTGAAAATGGTTCTCAGGTTGCTAGTATTCACAGGGATGAAGATGTTTTATCGTTTGCTTGCTCTCTTGATGGGAGGATGCTGGCAGTTTCCCATACGTCCGGCTCGATTTGTTTGATTGACACAATAAACGAGTTTAGAATACTGGCAGAAATAAACATTCCAAGCGTTTGTGGGATAATCAAGTTCTCCCCTGACCATCAGTTCCTCTTTTGTTGGCACGAAAGTCATGCACGACGTCATGACGTTTATCGGCTGAGCGTCAAACGTATCAACCAAGACACATTTTCGCTTGGTGTTTCTTGTGACGTTTCATATAAACCCTGGGAGTATGAAACTGCCAGTAAAGCTGGATTTTTGTTAGGAGATCCTCTTTGTTGTATCTATGAGAACGTCTTTGGTCGCTCATTTCTTGTAGAACGAGCATTTGTCTTTGTCCTTTCTGAGGAAATTGTCTTGAGGCGCTTTCCTGAAGGTCGTTCAGTGGCAATGTTCAGTGTGGATGAGATAAGTAGCTTCACCAATTCAGCACATCACCCACACTTATCTAGAGCCATAAAGATGGCGTTTTCGCTAAATGGAGAGATTCTCTATGTGATTTCCGAAGTTACAGCTGGAAGAGAAGTAATGGCTTGGAACGTTCGATGGGAAAACCTCACAGCAAGAATGATGATTGGAAGGACAAGAAGGGAGTGCCTTACGCCTGTAGCGGAAGGCGTAATTATCGCCAAAGACTGTGGTTGTCCCGAACTGTGGGATTTTGAGTTGTCTAGATGTATCCGTTCTTGGTCACGGGTGTGCAACATTACCGATGTGATTCCCCTGTCAAGAGATCACGTGGCATGTGTAGGGGCTTATGATAAAGAGGTGATTATCCTGGATTCGAGAAGCACAGGCGTAAAGGCACGCATCCCATTTTTTCGTGACCAATATGAATCAACCATTGAAACGTTGGGGAGAGAGGCCATCGCATGTAACAGCAAATACGAAGTACTGTCCACAGACCGAAAATCCATTCAGCTGTCGAATAGTGAAGGTATTATCTGGGAAAAGGAATGGAACGATTCTCTGTTGTGTGGCTACAGTCTCCCAGGAATGTTCTCGCCAAAAGAGGAATTTGTATTATTCTCGGCGAAACGCAATGATTGTGATGATCAGGAGGTATTTGTTCTCGAAGCCTCTTCCGGGAAAGAACATTCCATTGTCTGTAGAGGTGCTTCGTTTTTTGACTGTAAGTTCGTCAGTGATGAGGAATGTGTCATTGATTTCGAAGATACCTTACCGCATTTCGGTCTTCGTCTATTCAATATCAGGAGCGGTGATCTACTCTGTGTGATGGAGAGGGTGTTCAGAACGCATTGTCTCGCAACCTGTCTGCTGAACCATGCGATCGCAATTGACGTAAGCGTAGGCTCTGAGAAAAATTTCAGAATTATCCTGGTAAACAACCTTCCAAGTGAAGAAGATAAGAAGAACAAAATGTAAGTTTGATGTTGAAGATAATTAATTACTTTTCCTGCTTATAAAAGTTGGGTGGTTACTTGCATTCGTCGATCTTTCATACCTTCTCCTAAAAGCCTGGTAAACGAAACACTTAGAAAAGGAAACGCTTAGTACTTTGTTTCTCGACAACTCCGAAAGGATGGAGCCTGCTGTCGCACATGTACGTGCAACTGTCGTGGCTGGGTGATCCTCGGAGTTACGAATAGAAGAAGAGTTAGTTTTCCTTATCACTTTCAAGTAAACCCAAATCGTTATTAGTGTGAAACCAAAACCGCTCACCACTGAAGACCAAAAGAGGAAGCGTATCTTAATATGATATTTGTTTCCTGAAAAATATGTAAACATTTGCAGACTGTGTTTATTCTCTTCACCGCACTAGTGGTGGTTCTGAATCAAGGACAATGATACTTAGACTCAAAACTGGGAATAGTTTTCCTTCAGAAATCCAATCATAATTTACTTAGTAAGGAAGGCTTATTGTATCAAATTCCTTTTTAATGAAAGCATTTTGATGCGTGGGCAGTGAGAGTAACGTAAGCGAAAATAAATATATTTATCTGCTGCAACTGATATCTTTAAATTTGTTGCAGGGTACCAAAGAAGCAGCTGTATGAATAAGAGGTCAGTAGTAAGAGAGGGGGCTAAAAAAAGAGCTCTTGTCTGCGTCAGATTTTCGAAATTTCTCACTATGATAAAACATTCTGGATAAGAAACAGAATTTAGCGAGCGGGTGCTTGCTATAAATGATGTTGGCTGGACTTTGAAGACAATGTTAAGAGCGTTGGTGTGTTCGCTCTTTGAATCATTTCTATCATGCATTATCTTATGCCCTCAAGTCTGTTTTTTTTCTTTACAAGCTTTGAATTTACCAAATGTATGGCGAGGGTACTCCAAGCCCCTTCTTTTTAGGTTTCATTATTGTAAGATGACCTAGTTTACTCACTCATTGTTATTCTTGGCATATTTTTGTTCTTCAGTGAAGTGATGGATGAATTGCAGACTCTGTCGTGGGAGCCCTCCGGGCAGTCGGTACTGCTTGGTCAGCGTTAAAAACGAGAGACGAGCGCACAGTAAATCAGGAGCCATACGGAGAGAAATGTCTTCCTCTTGCTTTCACGGACACACACCATACCAGATAATTTACGAACAGCCCTACCAGGCGCTGGAGGGGCAAATGGACTAGTCAGTCCTATTCTGTAGTTTTGTTATGTCTATAATTGTTGTTTCTACCTATATTTCAAGGGGTGTCCGCTTTTTTTTTATCTGGAAGCTTTTTCAACATCGCTGTCACAGTGAAATTAGTATAGGTGATAACATGATTTCGACTGCGATTTGGTCCAAATAAGCACGAGTAAATTTTTCAAAGACAACAAAATTGCATGAGCCCGTAGTCTTTGAATAATTTACAAATGCTTACTACACCAAATTGCAAGAGAAATCATGTTATTACTTGCTAATAATGTAGGTGACAAAACATCACAGAAAGTCAGGACAGAAAAGATTCTGAAAGCGTTTGCGCGCTATATGTAATTTACACTCGTGTTATAACTTTGCACTCGTGTTACATGAGAATGCACTCATTTTCAGCCAATCAGAAGCCCGTAATATTTTTTTGGACATCATTAAGTATTGTTATCGATTATTAGTCACTCAAGAAAGAAGTTTAGTGTAACTAGTCAATGACTAGTTTTTCTCGCTGTAAAACTAAATTACAGTTTTGAGACTAAATTCGAGATTTTTCCGATTAGAGTTTAAAGAAGACGGCGCAACCGTTCAGAACAGATTGTTATAATTATTTGAAGACAACCCCCAGATTAAGAAACTAAAGCTTACTTTTTAAAGTTCGTGATTTGTAATCGCGTATTTTTTTTTTTATACATTTGCGTCGTTTAAATCCTTTTTTTTTATATGTAAAACTGTGAAAACGTATGTCGGTATGAATTGTCCATGAGTTTAAGAATACATATCTTTAGTGAGTCTTTAATCTATAGTTATTTGTAATTTAAAGCCATCATCAGATTTTTTAATTTGGCGAGTTCTTATTCATATGATTGTGATTTGTGCGCGAAGTAACCAGGTATCACAGGGTGCTACTGCTGTACACAAGTTTGGGAACCTCTTGCCTTTATTTGGATTTACGGTATCCTACAAACCATAGAACCGACTGGTTTGACTGATGTATCAGTAGAGACTCTATTTTAGAGGAGTAGCTTTCACGGTGACCGAAACAGATGCTAGTTAAACATTGTAGTTGTCATTAGGATGTGCCATTAGGATGCTCTAAGGATTGTTACAGAATTATTTGCTTTGTTTGAGGTTTTATTCTAACCTTTGAATCTTGTACTCTGGGTCAATGATTTTGCAATTTACCGTACCACATACGTTCATCTTAGGTCCCCTTTTTCAATGGAGGTCGAAAATTCTATAACTTGTACGAATCGAAGTAAAAGTGTAATTGCTTCGTTAGATGTTTTAGGTTCTTAGCAAGAATTAAGTAAATTGCTCCTGCCATCATTTCATTGCATAAATGTTTGTTAACCGTGCCAGACTTGAACTTTAGTTTGTTTCCGAATTATTTTGGGGGTTTCATCAGTTGCTAATTGGTGATGGTCATATTAGGTTTTGTCGGATGAAAACGAGCTCTGCGTAAAATTTTGGGTTCCCATTACGCTTTTGAAGTAAGCTGGTTCAACATTATTGCCTCACTAGAGGGCTATAGAGAAGACTGAATTTTTTTACCTTTTTATATCATATGTTTTATGCACTGATCGAACTGGACACTTCCCCGGTAAACGTGATAACTTGACCTAACAAAATACCTTAGCGTGGTCTGCTCATATCCAATGTTGACGTATGTGTTAGATTGTGATTAAGGCTTTCGTTACGCTGGAAAAACTGAGAATTTAAACAATCTGCAGTATGACTTTCTTTCATTATTACCTTCAAGTAACTAGGCAATAAAACTTTATCCCAGCGGCTTGTGACAAAATACCCAAATCCAGTGACATTTATACGCTAGTCCCTATATTGATTCTACCGAGCTACAGAACGCCCCGGTGTATGGGCATGTTACCGACAATGATTTTGCGTAAGATATCTGCAGTCTGTCCCTCTATCGCAAAAGGCTTCCCCCCCCCCTCCCAAAAAGAAAAAAATGGTCTTGCAGCCGCCCCCCCCCCCACCCCCCCAACAAAAAAAAAACTATATATACCCGTATCAGCCTCTACAAAACACACATCCCGCGAGTCAAAGGGGAAGGGGAAACATAAGTTGCATTTATGCATTCCTACATTCATACTATGATGTGTTTCCAGCGCTTCCCGGTCTTCCTTGAATAGTGAATATTAATCTCTCTGAATTTAGACATCGATAACTGAGAGGTACTCTCCTTTTTCTGTAAGACTGAGCAATTTGTTCAGCATATAAGTCATAAGACTTGGGTAGAGCCAATGGCTATTCGCCACGCTAACGCGTTTTAATTGCGAAATTACTTTAGTATTACTTCTTAGGTATATGTGCACGTGTTATTGGTAATCTTGCAAGCAAGCAAGCAACAAGTTTATTTCTAGCATTAAAAAAGTTTTAGTATTCCCCCTACCAACACCATCGACAGTTTTGATTGTAACTTGATCTCATTCGCTTTTGTAATTGATTCTTGATTACTGAACCGTTGGTTTAGTTTATTCGTCCAATATCTTTGTCATGTAATAGTCTAGTGTGTTATTTACGTAGGATATAATTATACATTTAATAAACTGTCTGGTCCCAAAATAAGCCTCTGTCTTTTGTGGTGTTTAGACTTCCGAAAACGAAAAAAGAAAACTTTCAGTGGTTTCAGCGATAACACCCGATCAAAGCATTCCCTTTTGCAACTAATTGAAATGTGATTTACTCTGTGCGTGCAATAATCCACAGTCCACTGCTCTAGTTAAATTTACTCGCTGGGGCTTCTGGGACACGCTTATTTGGGCAGATTTGTGACTTTTATCCTAATGTAAACAGTGCAGAGTTGTATTTACACGCGAAAATTGTTACATCGTTGCCATACTGGAGAGAAGAAAAACTGGCGAGGAAACGTTATTTTTCGGAAAGGTATGTACCTGTTCTTTGGTTCCGAAGCTATTTTTCGGAGTGTTAGTCGCTCAAGGGGTCTTTCAACCGTGGTAAACTTATCTGCGGTTTTTACGTTCCATAGATTTTGTGCCTTACTTGTAAATTTGTGAACACCTTCGCCGACGCTTTTAAAGTGCTTCACAGCTAATACTTTCTCTAGGCTCCCTTTTATGCTTTTCTTGTTTCTAAGCGTCGTATCTACCAGTGCAGGCGACGGAAGGCGGAAAATCATTACAGATGCCATGCATTTTTAGCGAAAATAATGCCCTCGTGGTGGCAAGATGATCAACTAACTTATTAATCATTGCAAAAATCTTAATGCAGTAAATATTCATCGACCGTTGTAACGATTAATATGGATTATCTTTTTAATTAGAAGCCAAAGCAGTCTGTAATCATGCGAGCACAATGCATAGAAGGAGTTCATACTAAATTTTGTGTTGAAATTGCTAATTGCACGTCAAGTTAAGAAATTCCGCATGCCAGAATACTTATTGACGCAATACGAAATCAAACGGTGTTATCGTTGTTATGGACAAATGGTCACATTTTCCGTTGAATTAAAAAAAGGGGGAATCACTCATTAGATAAATGTAATATTTCCCTTTGAATTATGTAAATAGTAGTCTCCTTCGCGACTGTTGTTTGGTCTCGTCACGCAACGCGCTTTCTTCCCACCGGTAAAGAACGGTGGGGAAGTTCGTTGCGTGACGAGATCAAACAACGGCTGCAAAGGAGATTATGTAAAAAATAAATGGAAAAATTATTGAAAGGTTATTTTTAATATATCTGTGCACTCCATTTTTGGTCTTTAAATGAGCGAATGGAAGAAAAAGGGGAGTTTTGATCAGTGTGTAACAAACGCTTTGTTAAGTTGTAGACTTCTTAGTTTTTCAGCTCTGAAGTTAAGTTTCTTATTAGGATGTATTACATCTTTCCTTTTCAAAAATTTTGAGCTAATGATCAGTTACAGTGTATACTACACTCCTCAATACTGGTAAAACTGTCCTACAGTCCGTGAAATGGTAGAAGATTTGTCTGAATCCATTCCAATGCTTAGCTGGCTAAGAGAGGGGTGTTATTAACAGTTTCTTGGACTGGAGTTATTTAAACCACAACAGCATAAATTCATTTAAAAAGAGAATGTACGCAATTATGATCACTGTTCATAATTATATTCAAATTAGTCACCCCTAGCTATAGGGCCAGGGCCAGAAGATTGATCCAATTTGGGAAGGGAAACCCTACAGTTGTCTTATTTGCAAGATTTAAGTGGCCTCACCTTGAAATCCTTAATCTTTAAGATGGACCAGCATCTAATTTTTCCTTACAATAATCATGCTAAATCAAACATTCATTCAACCAAAAAAGCTCTTGATTGATTAACAAATTCTCCTTGTCATTCTCATAGGAAATGTTTAACAAAGAGTGTGGAGAATATGCATTAAGAAGTTCTGGAATTAAACTTTGAAGTCATGAGAATAGAGGTAATAATCATCCACTAAAAAAGCGATTGATTGTTAAACAAATTCTCCTTGTCATTTCCATAGGAAAAGAATGAAAAAAAGTGGGGAGAATATTCATAAAGATGTTCTGGGATAGAGGGTCAAGGGAAAATTCTATCAACAATCCTCTTTGGGGGAAGGGACACCTGCAAAAATATCATCAGTTTGGTTGACTCCCCCTCCCCCCCCCTTTCCCCCCCCCCCTCCTGTATGCTTTTTTTTAAGTAAACAACTTACAATATTCAGGTTGCGAAAACAGGTAAATACCCTCTCTTTGATAGAGTGTGACCCCCTCTTTGGAAAATCTCAGTTACGCCCCAGAATATTGGACTATGTTCCTGTTTGATAAAGTTTTTTACAAGCTCCGGTAGTAAAGGCAAAGCAGTCATTTGGCTTGATACTTATATTATTGTGCAACCTTTCAAAGCTGCAGCAAGATTACAGCTTCATTCGGATTGTTGCATAGAGAACTCAAGAGTGGGTCTGGGAGTCAAAAGTTGTAACTTATGTCTGTGTATCCTTTAACCCCATGAGTGACCAAGACAGAATTTCTCCTTACAGAACCAATATAATATCAACCAGATAAGTGATGAGAATAAATAAAAATATCATTTTGGGGATGATAAGTTGATCCAATACTAACTTCTCTGCCTAACATCATAAGAATTGTATGGTTGACAGTAAGGAGAATTATAAATTTTATCTGGGAGTTAAAGGGTTAAGAATCAGTTTCAAAGTTTTTCCATGGATGTAGTGATATTGATGGTGATATGAGAAGAACTTTAACTAGGATCTTGTTACAATGCTAGATCTGCATGAACAGACAGTGGTGCCCAGAAAGCTCAGTCAAACCCTGACAGCAATTGTTTAGGTTTTGATCACAAATCAGTAATGGTGCTTCTTTTTCCTCCAATATTATTTCCCATTTGCAGCCCATTGCAGTTTTTTTGTTAAGGGAGCTTATTGATTTTCGTGACTATTCCATTGAATGAATTATTAGTATTCGCGAAACAATTTCTATTGTTCAATAGTTGAGAAAGTGACAAAGGGTATCTTATGAGGATCACATAGAATGTGATCGGATTAACTCTTTCACTCCCAAGATCTCATGTGTAATTCTCCTTACTGTCTGCTACACATTTCTTATGATAATTGATATTTTTCCTCATTCTCATCACTTTTCTTGTTGATATTGTATTGATATTGCAAGGAGAAATGCTGTCTTGGTCACTCATGGGAGTTAAAGGGTTAATTGACGATTGAGTTATTGGTGGTTGGGTTGAAAAATGAACTGTTAGTGTCTCTGCATTTCATGTTCTAACAGCTTGGTCCTATGGTGTATTGGATAATATGTTGTGGATACAATTTTTCTTAGCTTAAAACTTTTCAAAAGTTTTGATATATTTGTCTGTAAGTTTTCAGTTTCCAATTTGTCTTAAATTCATTTATCAACCATAATCTGTGAATAAGGACCACAAAACTATGAAAACATCTAATTAAGGGTACATCTAAGGGACATGTAGTAATAAACCCTCAGGGAGGTAGTGCTCTAGCCCTCTTGGCCTCACCATCATTCAATTTGGCAACACCTCTACAGTCTTTTTTTAAGTGTACCTTCACTGGGTGAGACTAGCAATCATTATGATCACATAACCAAACAGGTTTTCTCAGTACTCTGTATGGAGGAACTCTTCCAAGTAAAATTGGCCAGTTTTTGCTCATGATCAGCCCTTGCTCTGCATGCAGACATGATTCATATGAATCATGTATCAGACTGTTTATACACTGTGTGCTGTACTAAAGCATGCATGGGTTAAGTTTCAAATACTACAGAGGGGCTGAAGGATGATGAATTTAATCAATTTTATGACTTGAACATTGAATTTCTCTTTCTTCTATTTTCAACTAGTTGATTGAGAAACAGCACTCAGCTGACATTTGACACCTTAGGCTTCTTGTTAGACAGAGGTAAGGTGTTATTTGATTTTACTTAGTTTGCCGATTTTAGTAGTGAATGTAACAGGGCTGAGGTAGGATTTAGATCAGCTTCTTGATTTGAGGAAAATTTCACACTCGATTAAAATTAACTCTTTAACCCTTTAACCCTCAGGAATGATTAGTATGTAATTTCTCTTTACCATATCCATACCATTTTCCTGTAAACAGGTAATGAGAAGACTAAAAATTATCAGGTAGATGTAAGTATCTTGATCTAATCCCAAATTGTCATAACTAATTTACAAAGAAATGCTTAGCCACTAGAGGTGAGAATTAAC